CGGCTCCCCAACAGGTAGCTCCCGCGTGGGTCGCGCTCCCGCTCGGCTGCCCTGGCTGTGGAGATGGCTCGCTGCGTCTCGGTTACCTGGGCGGGCTCCAGGATGGTACCGCACGGAAGGGCTCCTTGTGCGCTGCGCCGAGGGAGTAAATGGCATTAAAGAAACCGGGAAAGAGACAAATAAAAATAAAATAAAATAAAAGGGAGTCCAGGCTAGGTCAATTAGGGCAGCGCAGAGAGCAGGGGATCAGAAACCCCCAGCGCCGCGGCCAGCGCAACCCGTTAACTCAAGTCTGCGGGGGTGTCCCGCTCCGGCCGGGGGAGCGCTGCCTGGCAGAAGTTTGCCGCGGGGGTGCCAGGAGGTGCGCGCGGAGCGGGGTGACTAGGGGCTTCCCCCCTGAAACAAGTGAAGGCGATGGTTAGTGCTGTCAATCTTGGCAATCAGTGTGAGCGGCCATGTCGTAAGTATTCAAAGCATTTCCCGTCGTGCAACATCAGAAAGTGAGTGGCCAGGGCATTGATCTAAGAGAGGGAGAGGAGGCAGGGCTCCCCTCCCAGACAACACAAGCAAGATGAGACAAGAGGCGAGGGAGGCAGCGAGCCAGGCAGGGAAGCTGGGAGGGAGGGGGAAGGCCAGGGGAAGAAGAAGGAGGGGAAAGCGGGAGGCAAAGGCAGGAGCGAGCCAGGGAGAGAGAGTAGGGCAGAGAGACCAGCGAGACTGCAGTTAGAACAGGAGGAAGCGCCTGGGAAGTGAGAGTGAAGCGATTGTTAGGCGAGAATTGGAAGCGGGACAGAGCTGGAGTCAGAGGGGAACGGGGACAAGTGTTGGGTGGTGAAGCAACAAAAAAGACCGGAGGAGCAATTAGTGTTGAGGCAGGGGTGTGAGCAGGCTAAGACTGGGTGGAGGTGGTGTGGGGAGAGAGAGAGAGAGAGAGAGAGAGAGAGAGAGAGAGAGAACACAGGAGAAAGAAAGGAGCCAGTGGAGGAAAGGATGCAGTCAGGTGGGTTGGGAAGTAGCTTGTGCTTTGAAAAAGTTAGGTGGCAGAGGAAGAAACCACTGGGTGTTAGAAGCATTGGAATGTACAACTGGACCAAAGAAGAGAATCATGAGAGAAACAGGGGAGGCTAAGAGGAAGGCCACTGAAGCAAACAAGAAAGCAGGGACAATGCTAGGATAAATGATAAGCATGATGAAGGAAAAATGAAAAAGAGGAATAAAAAAGATGCAGGAGTCAGAAGGAATGAAAACATCCCAGTTAGTGGGATCTCAATAAATGGGGCAGGGGAAGAGGTTTATTTTTAAAGATGTTATGAGGAATTAAAAGAAAAGGCAATTGGCATAGGCAGTCCGTAACATATCTAGGTGGCAGTGTTCAAGAGGCCACATGGATGGCAGATTAGAGGCCAAAATTGCTATCATAGTAAGACATCTACAAAGTACCAGAGAAAAACCATTCTAGCTTTACAATAAATAAAATAGCTTCATGTATATTACCTGACGAAATCTGTGTTTGGAATTGGGAGGATGATACACCGTGTAACTTCCACTTTATAGAGGAAGATCTTTTGAGAAACAATTTCAAGAGGAGTCATGTGAAGGTTGTAGGAGCTAAAAAGAGAGTTTGGCTCACCCAGGACATCATGTAAACATACCTAAGTCAGCCAGGGAACCTACAGAATTAAAAGTCCCCCTTTGCTGTGTATGTAGGAGAGATGAAAGACTTGAAGACCTAGAACTCCATCTGAGTGCAAAACAGCTTGGGGACTAGAAGGCAGAGTAAGAGTCAGTGGAAATCAAACAGTCTTTGTTGGCAGCAGTCACAGGGCTGAGAGGCCTTCTGCATGAGGTGAGGCTGGCCTGCCTTAGCCCAGGACCAAAGAAATAGACCAGATTCAAAAAAGGGAGGTCAATGGTGAGTCAAAATTGCATCAAGATTAAAAGCTATGAAGAGGTTCTGATATACTGGCATCACTTGCAGAGATGTGTGAAAGGGAGAGTCTTGCCCAGTAGAAACTGATATTGGATACCCACTTTGTGATGCCTCAACAGCATGGACTTTCTGAAGAAGATGTACACCAGGAAAGAAGGTGTGGGGATGCTAGCGATAAAAAGCAAACTTCAAGGCAATTTAAAGTTACCAACACACGAGGAAGACCTCCTACAGATTAAGGGGTAAAAGCTAAAGGAGAGAAAAGCTTATGTTTGTTTTATTAATTTTGAAGAAAATGGAGAGTGAACAAACATAGAAGATACAAGAGTGGAGATATAAATTCATGTAGTGACTTCTTAAAGTCCACTCCATGTTTGGCTTAATATGAACTCCAGGCAAGAGAAAGAAAAGGGTAAAAATAAGGATGGGGATGAGCATTTAGGATCAGTGGAGTAGAAGGATTAGCTAGATGTTTCTTCAAGGACAGAAAATTTGATGCTTAAATAATGGGATCTCAGGTACTGGGAGTTCACTGGGCTATTGGCTGGGAAAAGAGTAGATCCCCAATAAGAGATCCCATTGCCCCCAGGGTCTTTCAGAAAAGGGATGACTTCCTCAAAGCACCTGCATACCAGCCCCTTAGGAGCCCAGACTGCAGGCACCTCTGATCAAGTACCTCTGAGGCCCATGGAATCCACAAGACCTGGCATTTGTCTCCTAGAAAGAGACCAAATCACTTCCTTTCTTTTGTGACTATGTGTCAAGTCCAGTTCTTCAGTCTCAGGCTCTTGGGCCCTGGAACTCAACCCTCTGTTAAACCTGTTGCCCTGAAGTCACGGCTGACTCAAGGTGACCGCATATACTGTGCCCCACAGTTTCCAATGACCACCAAATGGACTTTTACCTCCAATCCTTCCTGCTTGTGAACTGTTTGCTCCACCCAAGAACTCCCAGAAACTCAACTACACTAATGACCTGACCAAAATGCCTGGAGAGCCAGGGCAGGACACGGAGAAGAGAAGTGGTGGCGGTCCCAAGGAGGAGAAACATCCCTTACAGAAACTCTGTCGCGACTGGCTTCTTCCAAGCTGCTGCAAAGACGAGTTTGCCTGTTCAAGAACCAACTTGTCCGTTTCTTTAAAACACAGGGCACTCTGGACTTGAGGGGACAAGACTGATGCCGGTGATCAGATGCAGGCCGCTGACAAGCCGGCGGGAAAGAAAGAGAAGGACATCATCAAGATCCCTGGTGTCCAAGGCCCTAATCCTGGGCCGCAGCGAACCTTCCCAGAAGGCGCGCGGAAACTTCTTTAGGTTTCAACAAATAAACGGATACCACAGTAAATTGGAATTGAGGAACACTACGCTAGTCGGGACATTGATCCCTACCAAGGGAAACCAAAGTTTGGGGTCTTGGTGTCCTGCTCCAGGGTTTGCACGGGTTGACACGTGGCTCTGGGGGCGGGAGTGCGTACTAAGGGATTCCTCGGAAACCCCCCGCGCCGCTGTACAGAGCAGCAGAAGTGGAGAGCGCAGCGACAAGCTTAAGGGTCTGGTGCTCTACCTGGTCCACGCCGGCCTTGCGGGCTTAGAGAAGTCCTTGAGGAAGCGAAGGGCGCCCAGGCACAGCGGCCGGATCTGGGCGCCTGTGGACTCACTTCCCCTGGAGGTCGGAGCGTGACGCGACGCGAGAGTCCCCGGTGCCGGGCTCTGGGAAGCAGGAAGGAAGGTAGGATGGAGAGGGGGTGGGGTGAACCCAAGCCATCGTGGGCCGGTTTACCTGCCCGCTGCGCTCGCCGCTTCCGGCTGTCGGGCGTTCCCGTGCACCGCTCACCGCAACCAGCAGAGCAAGACTTTGCGAAGTTTGGCTTCGCACCTCCTGGGAAGAGGCGAGAACTCACAAAGGAAAGGCGCGCCTGGTTCCTGGACAGAGGTTCCCTTGAACTTGGGAAGGGCAACGCAATTCATTCTGCTCCAGAGGTTAACCCTGAAAACACTCACACCCAAATCACAATGGCTGGTAAAACCTCCAATTCCCTCTTTGAAAATCTTACACCAGCCAGACGGACAGTCTGGACCTCCATGTCAGGGCATTTATCCTCGGTCACTAACTTCTTTATGGGGCTTTCCAGCTACTGTACACCTAGAACAGGCATAACTGTCTTTCACTCCGAAACAGAAGAAAGAAGAACTTCCACTGAAACGATGAATATGTGAAAGAAAGTGCAAAACCAAAAGGGAAGAAGTTGGAAACTTTCATCACAAGAGGGAGAAAAGTTTTAGAAATCGGTTTCCTTCGGGAAAGGGTGAGTGGGGTGGAGGCACAAACAGACCAACACTCAAGCAACCCATCGCAGTAAGTTTGTAGCAATCAGATAACCTCAACTCCCAAATAACTGTGCCCCTGGGACTCTGCCTTAAAGAGGTAGAAACTCGGGTTTCAACAACAAAAGCAAACAGCAAATTGTGGGCAATGTTCTGCGACCCTTCAGATGTCATTCTGCAAAAGAACAAGGCATTGTCCCCGGACTGTAGACGGATGGAGAATAACATGAGATTTCACTTGAATTTGCGCGTTATTCTGTGGGGAGACCAAAGCCATAGCGACTGTGGCAGCAGCAGCACCACAAAGGAGAGGGGAGAAAGTGGTAAAAATGCAGGAACTTTTTTTCAAAGGAAAATAAAGATACATCAAAAATAAGTTTTACAGGCATGCCTTTGCTAGCTTCGGAAAGTTAATTTTTAAATGTGCCTCTGCTGTCTAAGGTGCAAAGCGGAGGCTGGGGGAGTGCGTGGCTGGAATCTGCATGCTGATAAGAGAAGGCTGATGTACTTACAGTGACAGAGGGCAGGCTGCGGGAGAAAAGCTGTTTGTGTTAGCCTGCGAGTTACCCAGGGCTGCAGTGAGAGCAGAAGGGAGGAGTGGGAGTGCCAGTCTGCGTACACCTTCACCGCGTCTCATTACATCTGCCAGCCTCTCTCTCCCTCTCTCTTTCATTTCCACATTCCCTTTGTTCCTGAAAAAAAAATCTACACGTCACATCAGAGTCCCCAGATGCAGTCTACACCAAAGAAAAAAAATGAATAATTCAATCAAACTGTGCATAGTCTCTAAGGCAATAAATCTATTGCACTTAAAGAAACGAAGGGTAATTACCACCATGGAATTAGAATAAGGCCA